TTCCTTAGATTTTGATGTATTGGAACTGTATTAAATGATGATATTATGAAAAATCAAGCATGTTCTGTTGAATTTTATGGAATTGAATATGAGTGGATTTTAGTTTTTTTCTTTTGCCTGTGTTGATGAAGGGGTGAAAAGGAACCCTAAATTTCCTTTTGTTTCTGTCCAGATTCCATTTCTATCTAGACTTTAATCCTTTTTTTGCCTGTTTTTGGTTGATGGTTTGTGTTTTTGGGTCAGGTCGACCCGGCCCAATCCAGTAGGTCTATGAGTAAAAAAAGAAAAAAACTAAAACTAAAAAAGGAGTAAAAAAAAAGTGAAAAAAAAACTAAAAAAAGGGTATATAAATAAAAGGACTAATTGATTGATTAGGAAAATTAGTTTAATTTATGATTAATAAAATTAATTAATTTTAATTAAAGTAAATTAATTATGTTTATTGATCTTAATTTGAAATAATTAGATTCATTTAATTATCTTGATTAGAGATTAATAAATATGATTAATTAATTTTAATTAATTTTAATTAATATTGAATTAATTATTTAATTAAACTGATTATCATAATTAATTAATTTCGATCCTTAACTTTTTTAGTCTTGGTCAAAAGGTCAAAAAATTATCTGCTTTTATTTCGGTTTCACCCAAAATTTTCATGATTAAGCACTTTAATCCAAAGTTTGAAATCTTTTCAAATTAGTCCTCTATACTTAGAATTTAAACAAATCAATTCTTCATTCTTAGAATTCAATCAAATCAGTCTCTCATATTTAGCATTTAATCAAATCAGTTCCCTCATATTTAGAATTTAATAAAAATCAGTCTATTTAACTTTTCGTTTGTAGTTGTGGTGCATGCATGTTCTTGATTTTGTCCATTTTAGTCTAAAAGTTTAAAAATATTGCAATTTGGTTCATCCTTTTTTAAGTTTGCCTATTAAGACCTAAACAAAGATATAATAAATGAGTTGAATTAAAACTCCAATGTTAAAGTATGCAACCATGTTTAAACAGAGGATTGTGAGGTGCGCGTATGCCCTTCCTCACTCCTAACCGAACCCCGATCTCTACAGACCCATTTTAGGTGACTTGTCCCACTTTATAATTTGGATGAGTGGTGACTCCTTTTTATATTTTTCACGCTTAATTTTTCATTATTTTTATATTTTCTTCTTTTTAAATTTTGAAATCTTAAGTTGGTCATCAACATCCATCTTTGTGTTTTGTGTACTTTACTTTCATGAAATCCTCATTTCCTATGTAGTCTGTGGCCATGTTCAAACTGAAAATCTCATCTCTATTTATTTTTATGTCTTCATTCATTGTTGTTTAATTTGAAGTGCAATAGTCAAATTTGCTTTTAGAGTTTTAAAATTTCACTTCTAAGTGCGTGTTTACCTTTGCTTTGTGTCTTGTGAATAGAAGTTTTCATCTAGGAAATAAGTGGAAAGAGAGAAAATTCTTTTTGTTGACAATTGCAGCTATTGATCTTTTGGACCCTAGAGTTTCTGGTTGAGGAGCAAGCTAGTTTGAATTTTGGGTCTGTGTGTTTCAGAGAGGTTGTGAGGTGCTTGTATGCAGTTCCTCACACCTAATTATACCCCAAAACTCCTACACCAACCCAATTTTAAGTTGACATGCTCCACCTTATAATTTGAGTGAGTGAAGACTCCTTTTCTTAGTTTTCATGCTTATTATTTAGTTTTTGAATTTTAAGTGGTCATCAACAGGTCCACTAGGTTTTTGTTGCTGTTGGCGTCATCCCAAAGGCAGCCACCTGAAGAATAAAGATGAAAGTGAAGAAGCAGAAGCGTCATAGGAAGACTGTTAGATTCTTCTCTGTTTGCTTTGGGTTTAGGCAGCCCTTCAAGGTGCTGTGTGATGGAACATTTGTCCATCACCTTCTTGTCAATAACATCACGCCCGCTGACACTGCTCTCTCTAATTGCCTTTGTGCCCCCATCAAGCTCTTCACCACCAGGTAAGCTCTTCTTTCACTTTCCATTTAGTTATTCCTAATCTCCCTCAAAGTTTTTTGGTCTTCTAATAATTTCTTTTAGATGTATTCTTGCGGAGCTGAAAACTCTTGGTGCTTCCTATTCTCACTCCTTCCAAGCTGCTAACAAACTCACAACTGCAAGGTATGATTGCTCCCTTTCTCTTTGCTTCGTCACTTCCACATTTGATTTTCCATCCATCCTTCTAGTTCTAGTGTGTAGCTGTTTGTATATTATGTTAGATTTAAATTAGTAGTGTGCTTGTTATTTAATATGATTTTTTATGAAAAATTTTCATGGTTAAATTTAATTCAGATGTGATCATGAGAAGAGGAAGGGTGCCGATGCTTGCATTTTGGATGTAATTGGACAAAATAATCCTGAGCACTTTTTTGTTGCTACCCAGCATGTTGATCTTCGAAGCAAACTTCAGGAGGTCAGTCAGTGTACTAGTGTTTCAATGTCTTGACTATTTTACACAGTGTGAAATTTTGTTTGCACTTAAGTTAACATATACCTAAGTAGTTTCATCAAAAAACCAATTTCTTAGTCTGAAAGGGTTGGATATGTGAGTACCCTTGTTGCTTGCTTCATATTAGTTGTATTTTGATGGAATTATTGTTGACATGAGGAAAGGCAACTTCTCATCTGTTATGTGTCAGCTAGCTCAATTGTTTGTGTACAAAGCTCTACTACCTAATCTTTGCTTCTGGAATGTATGACAGAGAAAGTCAATAGTCCATGTTTCTTATTTTTTTAATCATTTTTCTGCTGTTAATGGCACCTTTATATATGCATATTATTCATCTCATTTATCTTCCTTCAGGTGCATGGTGTTCCTTTAATATTTGCTCTAAGAAATGCCCTTTTCCTTGAGCCACCATCTTCATTTCAACGTCAGTTTGTCAAAGCTTCTGAAGAAAAACGTCTACATATGACTGAAAAGGATCATAAGTTATTGGAGAGGAAGACTAGGGGCCTTTTGGAAAATGAGGATGTAGCACAGTCTAATGATGTTGAAGGTTTAGAGTCTCTTGATCCCGGATTGCAAGCGCACAACACAAGAAAGCATAGTACTGGAAAGGAATTAGGTGTGAAGGACAGAGTTCAATTCAAGAGAAAAAAAGCTAAGGTGAACTCCTTGTCACCACATCCTTTTAGACTCTCTTTACTCTTGAGGTGCAATATCTAAGTATGTAATGCTTTTGCTGGTAATAATGTATGAAAGCTGAAAACAAGCTTACAGAACATTAG